GCAAGCAAGGCCTTAATCTCTTCATCGTTTTCGTCAAACCAGTCCGGCTGCTTCCTATATGAAGGTCCAAGAACCTTAAGTGCAGAAGAGTGCAAGATGTCCCGGAAACATTCCCAGTCCTTCTCAGCATTTTCCTGTATTTGCAGCTCTGAGAGTTGATTGTCAAGATCTTTTACTAATGAAGCTGCTACGTCGGGGTTTTCCAGTGTACTGACGTTGATCTTTTTCATCACAACTCTGTTTCCCTGTGGACGATTCTTTGGCTTGATGTGAATATTTAACTTGGAAATGATGAGTCTATGGTCAGTCCAACAGTCAGCACTCGGCATGGCCTTAGTTACTCTTACATCTTGCATGTCTTTCCTCCGCACGATGATATAATCAATGAGATGCCAGTGCCTGGAGCGTGGGTGCATCCAGGATGTCTTTTTGCGAGTAGGCAGGCGGAAGATGGTATTAGAATGAACTAAGATTGCAACAAATGCCAAAGAAGGATGCCAAGAAAATGATAGGTCCACTAATGAGAGAAGATGGCAAGACAGTGATGGGAAGCAAGCAGAAAGCAGAACTGCTTAATTCCTTCTTTGCATCTGTCTTCATGCAAAAGGAAAAATAGTCTATCCAATAAAAAAACAGCACTGTAGGAGACAGAACAGGAAAGTAAGCAAAAAACATAAGCAGGAATAGCCAACATAGGCAAAAAATTAGCAAGAGAACACCTTTCCAAGGAGCTGGCAGATGTGATCTCAGAACTAATTGAACAAGATATTTCAGAGCTTCTAGAGCAGGGCTTTTCAACCAGTGGTACGGGTACCACCTGTGGTACATTGGCACCTGGCAGGTGGTATGCGACCATCCTAGAAAAGTGGTAGTGGGGGAGGGGAATGAGAACGCCGCCGGGCGGGCAGGCAGGTGTCTTGCTTGGCTGTGCCTTGGGGGGCACTTTTTTCAGTGCCATTGTAACTTCGAACAGTCACTAAGCAAACTGTTGTAAGTCGAGGACTACCTGTACCTTATCACTTTTTTCCTTTTTTTTTTTTTTTTTGGTCATCAAGTTTTTGACACCTTGCTAGGTGACTGGTGGTACTCGGATATTGCCATATCCTAAAAGTGGTACAATGGGTGAAAAGGTTGAAAAGCCCTGTTCTAGAGAACCGGGGAAATGCCAGAGTACTGGAAAAAAGCTTAATGTAGTTCCAATCTACAAAAAAAGGGGGGGGAAGCAGATTCATAAAACTATAGACCAATTAGCTTGATATCAATACCTTGATATCAAATCCTAGAAAAGACAATCAAGCAGCGGATTTCTGAACACCTCAGAAACGAGCAAGGAGATTAACAGAAGCCACCATGGGTTTGTTAAGAACAGATCATGCGAAACAAACCTTATTGTCTTCTTTGATAAAGCAACTAAATTAGTGGATCAAGGAAATGCTGTGTATACTGTATAGTATACTTAGACTTCAGTAAGGCATCTGACAAAGTAGATCGGAGCCTACTTCTTGGTAAGATAGAACAATGTGGGGTAGACAGTACCACCACCAGATGGATTTGCAATTAGCTGACCAACAGCCCTCAGCATATAGCCCTCAATGGAACTACATATATATGAAGGGAAGCAAATAGTGAGGTACCTCAAGGCTCTGTCTTGGGCCCACTCTCTTGAACATCTTCATAAATTATCTAGAAGAGGGGATAGAAGGGGAACTCCTCAAATTTACAGACAGCACCAGGCCGGGGATGGGGTGGATTGTTAACACTTTGGAAGATAGATTCAAGATTCAGAAAGATCTTGACAGACTTGAACCCTGGGTCTTATCCAACAAGATGCAGTTCAGTGGTGAGAAAAATAAGATCCTGCACTTAGGCAGGAAAAACCAAATGCACAATTATAAAATAGGTGATACCTGGCTCATCAGTAGTAACTGAGAAAGTAGGTGTCCTAGTCAACCACCACTTAAGGATGAGCCAGCAGTGTGCTGCAGCTGCGAAAAAACTCAATGCAGTTCTAGGCTGCATCAACAGAAGGATAGTATCAAGATTAAGACAGGTGATAATATTGCTCTATACTGGACTAGTGAATCCACACTTGTTACGCATCCAGTTCTGGTCGCCACAATACAAAAAAAAAATCTGAGGCTCTATAAACGGTGCAGAGAAGAACAGCAAAGATGACAGGAGGTTTGGAAACTAAACCGTATGATGAATGGTTAGGGGAACTAGGTATGTCTAGACCAGAGATGAGGAACTATGGTCCCTTGTGAACTTCAATTCCCAGAATTCCTGAGACAGCATGATCTAGACTAATGAAGACACGGATTATGAATGACATGTTAGCTGTTTTCCAGCGCTTAAGGGTCAGTCACAGAGATGAGGGGGTTGAGTTATTGTCCAAGTCATCTGAGGGCAGAACAAGAAACAATGGGTTCATTAAAGAGAGTTCCTACCTGGAACTAAGGAGAAATTTCCTAACAGTGAGAGCAATTGACCAATGGATCAGCTTGCGTCCTAGAGTTGTAAGTGCTCCATTGCTAGACATTTTCAAGAAAAGATTGGACAACCAATGGGATGGCATAAGGATTCCTGCCTTGGACAGGAGGTTGGACTAGAAAACTCTAAGGTTCTTTTTAGCCCTATGATTCTATAACATTTCTTTAACAGAACTTACATGGAGAATGGCACAGATATGGCATAGAAAGAGTTGGCTTCTCTTCACTGAGTAACTTGGCCAAACTAAAAGTAAATGAAAGAATGATCAGATTCAGATTCTTCTATTCTTAACAACTCCATGAAATTTGTATTAAAATTAGCACTTAAAAACTAAATGATACTACTATTCTACTTAGCAATACAATCCTGACCTCTAGTGGAAAATTACATACTGACAAAACAAAATCACACTGAACTACTTCATGTCAGTCACCAAAAAAGAGCTAGAATCATAAGCCATACATACTGACTATATTTGGGGGTATCTAGTGGAAAATACAGATAATGGAATGGAATGGAATAGCATAGCAATAGAATAGAATAGAATAGAATAGAATAGAATAGAATAGAATAGAATAGAATAGAATAGAAGGGACCTTGGAGGTCTTCTAGTCCAGCCCCCTGCTTAGGCAGAAGAACCTATACCATTTCAGACAAGTGACTATCTAGTCTCTGCCTAAAAACTTCCAGTGATGGAGCACCCACGATTTCTGAAGGCAAGCTGTTCCACTGGTTAATTGTCCTCACTGTTAGGAAGTTTCTCCTTAATTCCAGGTTGCTTCTCTTTGGTCAGTTTCCAACCATTGTTTCTTGTCCTGCCCTCTAGTGCTTTGGAGAATAGTTTGATGCCCTCTTCTTTGTGGCAGCCCCTCAAATACTGGAATACTGCTATCATGTCACCCCGTTTCTTCTTTTCTTTAGACTAGCCAAACCCAAGTCCTGCAGCTGTTCTTCATATGTTTTAGTCTCCAGGCTTTTGACCACTTTAGTTACTCTTCTCTGAACTTTTTCCAAGTTATTTTATCAATCAACAACTGCAAACCCATTCTGTTTGTTGAAACCTTCTGAGATCATTTGAAACCTTTTGATGTATCACCAGTGTTCAGCAATTTCTCAGGGGGACTGTTTTCCCAAAATAGTAATTTTGAAGTCTACCATACAGTATGCCAGGGTTAAAACTGCCTAATATCACTTTGTCCTGAAATCAAACTTGTGATTGTTAATTTTTTGTATGTGATATTTTCCAGGGGAAAATTGCTGGAAGATAAGGGCATCAATCACATTGGAAGAAGAGCATGTAAAGGATTTTAATCTCTACTTCTTGTGGCCTATGATGCTCCTAGTGTAGATGTAAAGACATAACAGATATCTGGATTTTTTACTCAAATCTTTCAAACTTCGTGAAAAAGAATTAATGAACACATACTCTTAAGACAAATCCAGGACAAATAGGTTAGTTATATATCTTTCTACCTTTATTCCAATTTATTTCCTTGTCACTCTGTGCATCTGATGAAATGAGCTGCAACTCACAAAAGCTTGTCTTTTAATAAAATTTCTTAATTAAAGAGACTTCTGATTTCTTGCCATTAACATACTTTTCCTCATACAATAAATACTAAGGGGACAGTTAATTGATTGTATAATAAGAAAGATTGTCGGTCAATAATTTATTTCTTTTTCTGAAATTGTTTGTTTCCATTTTTTTGAAAGACAGATATGAGGTGGTGTGAATTTGATCCGTACAGGAAGTGTTTTAACACTTCCTGTACGGATCAAATTCACACCACCTCATATCTGTGTCACTTCGGTCCTTCATGTTAAACAAATCCTGGAGTAAAACAATTAGATATATCACACATATCACTTGATAATGCCCAGTGACATCTATAGCCAGTATCACTGGCCTCATTTTCTATAAAGTTTCAGAAAACTTCCATTCCATTATTTCCTAAAATATTCCTGTCATTTGGTAAAAAGTTCACATCTTTTACCCAATAAAAGAACAACATCACACAGGAATAGCACTCAATTCCTTTCATCTGTATATCTTTTGCTTCTGAACGAATATTTTACAGTCAATCTTATCTTAAATAGTGTCAGTTGACTGATAGCAATCATAATAATGTGATTTATTTTGTGTTATTTATTACTATTACCAACTATGATAATTGACTTTATAACGATAACATGGATTTTTAGAGCCTGCCAGATCAACTTAGCTCGAATTAATTTGGTCTCCATAAAAAATCACAAGGTATAATTCAACATTCCTCCGTTCCTATGACGACCGCCGCGGAGTTCCACCCGGCTACGTTAATTCCCATCTAAACGACTCCGGAAGTGCTTATAGCGGAAGTTGCAAGAGGGTGAAAAAAAGGGGGATGGTAGGTTTTAATCTTGTCTGCTGTTGCGAATGGGGTATCTCTTTGTGTGAATGTTGGGGGTGGGGGGGGGTTGAGGCTAGCTTTTGCTTTTTTTAAAAAAAAACTGCTTAATATTCGGAATTGGGAAGCTACTTACGACTGCGGGATTGTAAAGCAGGACGATAATACTACGTAGGCGACCGTTTTGCTATTTGATGTTTATTAATTTATTTCTGAAAAAAATATGCACTGAGATGGTCCGGTAACCACCTTTTGATTTAATACACGGCCATCCAGTAAATATTTTTTGTTGTTTCTGCATACAGATTTCTAACCGAGATTTCCTAGTTTAACACTTCAATTGCTGTTTTGTGCTGATTGATAAATTCTGCGGCTACGGGACTTGGGTTTGGCTAGTCCACGGGTGGGCAACCTGGGCTCTTTTATGACTCATGGACTTCAACTCCCAGAATTCCTGAGTCAGCATGACTCAGGAATTCTGGGAGTTGAAGTCCATAAAAGAGCCCACCCCTGGGCTAGTCTAAAGAAAAGAAGAAACAGGGGAGACATGATAGCAGTATTCCAGTATCTGAGGGGCTACCACAAGGCAGAGGGGGTCAGGTTGTTCACAACAGCACCAGAGGGAAGGATGAGAAACAATGGTTGGAGACTGATCAAAGAGAGAAGTAACCTGGAATTAAGGAGAAACTTCCTGACAGTGAGGACAATCAACCAGTGGAAAGATTACCCCCTGAAATCATGGACGCTTCATCACTGGATATTTTTAAGAAGAGACTAGACATTCACCTGTCTGAGACAGTATAGGTACTCCTGCTTAAGCAGGGGGCTGGACTAGAAGACTAGAAGACCTCCAAGGTCCCTTCCAGCTCTATTCTATTCTATAGGGAAAAGAACCCATCAAAATTTGTCAGAAAAGGTAGATACAACAGTCATGTCAGGGTGACAAGAAAGATAATGTGTGCTTTTCTATAGGAATCAATCATGGTACATATTAAGAGATTTACACATAGTGCGTGTGTACAGTAACACAGCCTAAAGTTTATTATGGGAAAAGTTGTCAAGAAATGAAATGAAAGAAGAAATGAAAATAATTGTCTGATTTACTAGACAATTGTTCAAAGTGCTCAACATGCTCAAAAATACATAAGATCAAAAGTTAATATATTAATAACTATGTTAAACCCATTTTCTTTCCAATTTTGTTTTCTAAAATCAGTTGATCGGTCAGATATTGGAGACTATTTGAGAATCAAATACAGTCAAAATTTTCAAGTAAGCCATTCTGTAGAGATGCTAGTTCCTGTTTTAATTTTCCCAAAAATGTAATTTACGGTATTAGCAAGGCCAAAAATAAAGCTAATATTTTAGTATAAATTGCTATCTAATGTATTTGATGTTATAGGTTGCAGCAAATACCGAATTAGGGCTCCTGGACAATGCAGGGACCATAATTTCTTTCTTCTCAGGTACATCCAAATTTGCAATCTATTTGCATTTTCAGAATTCAGAATTCATTTTCAGAATTCTGAATGCATTTGAGAAATGAGTTCAACACATAATCTGCATTCCTAGCTCAGGTTCTGTTTCTTTTAAGATGGAACTCTCTTGAATTAGCTGGTCAGTAAGTTTCTAAAGGTTAACCTCCATGTTCTTGAATGTTAGCCATTAAGTGCATTGTAAGAACCTATAAGAATTGATAATGCTGTAGGAAGAATAAAAAGTGAATAGTTTCAAGCTTGTTCAAGCACTATACTAAGTCCATAGAATAGAGACCGTATGAATGTATTTAATGATTTTAGATGTATTCAGTATGTACCTCTAATCCTGTAGTTCTGTGGATTTTGTCTAAATCTGAATATGTTACTACGATACTTTATATATCAAAATTGTGTATATTTTGTAATTTAGTATGATAAAAATCTTTGATTATCCCCTCATTTATTTTGCCAATGTTAAATGAATAGACATTTTTATTGCTCTGTTCCCTTGTTTGATCCCATATCTCTTCATATGAGCATGCAAAGGATGATGTGAGCATGTAAAGGGTGATGGAATATTAGGAATGCATTCTTCTAGCAGAACACCACTGGATCTAATCCATTTAATATGTCTGTATTTCATTTTTAGAAAATGCATATGTTCCAAATAATTGAAAAATAGTGTGCTAGTATCCTTATTTCTTTTGTATCTTAATTATTATTTCTTATATTGTATAATACACTTTTATTTCCTTATTTCTTTCAGTTGTAGAAGTATTAAACATGGACCTTAACAATTCAGACCCTGCTCCTCATTTCAGAATCTAAAAGGTTTTTAAAAAGTCATTGACTTCCTTTATCAATGAACTTCAGACATGATGGTAAGATTTTGTGTGTGTTTGTTACTTTCATTCTTTCCAATTTTATGTATGGAACTTCAAGAACTCATTCAGAAAATAATGACCATAACCTTGGTTTATTTCCATGCACAAATATCAATAGCTATATTTTTAGTTTTCCAGTTATTTCAGGTTTTTGACAGCTGCAGCACATTGCTGGCTCATACTCAAATGGTGGTCTACTAAGACACCTACAGTAGATCTCTCTCACTTAGTACTGTTAAGTCAGATACTGCATATTCTGTACCTATGCATTTTTTCTGCCTAGATCCATTACCTTAACTTATATTACATTCACTATGATTAATATCAGAACTGTCCAAAGGATGATGAAGTAAAGTGAATGTGTTTGTAACATGTATGGATTTTTTTCCCCTCTGGTTTTTGTTTTTTAAAAAATGTATGCTTTACAGTTTTCTTGCATCAAAATAATAGAAACAATGCCTCTGGCAGTTGTGCTTGGACATTTGACTAGTGGCCTCAAGTTATCTGCCCTTGGCAGTGATACTTTGATATATCCTACTTTCCTTCTTTTGTTGTTTTACAACCAAATGTAGATAAACTTTCACATTTAAACCAATATTGTGGTAATGGATTGCTTTCAGTCTAGACCTAACCTTTTACCCTGAAAACATGCTAAATTCTAGTAGGATTTTTTTCCAGCTTGTTATATGAAGGATTTTTTTAGCCTTAGAATATTAAATAATATATTAGTTTTTGTTGATTAATTATAATGTTTCATTTGCTCAATTATTTATAATACTGATAAGAATAAGAATATTGTTTTCATTTTTGTAGCAGCAGATTTTAGAAGTTGCACTGGATCGTGCTGAGGTAAATTATAGATTATCTAAATTATACAGGCGTTTCTGATTATAGTACTAGCAATAGAAAAGGCCATTGTTCTCTTCATGATAATTTCATTTAAAAGTATATGAAAAAGGTACAATTCCTAAATATTTAAACTGCTTTATTGTAAACATTTACAATAACATTTATTCTGGTTCGATAATGCCCACTATATCCTAGAAAGATGCAAGAGATGTAGTTTTGTTACTGATTACTGTAGCTTGAATTATTTTAGGTTTTTCTGATATTTTTTGATGGAGTTATTGATGGAGAAATAATATATTGCAAAACTCAAAAAATGAAACATTTAATGGTTTCTGGTGAGATCTGTGGGAAGTATGTGTAGAATGTAGTTGAGATGTAATTGAGATGAGGATAATATTAAGCAAAATGCTAAGTATATACAAATAATCCTTGACTTACAACCATTTGTTTAGTGACTTCAAAGTTACAACAACATTGGAAACAACTGACTTATGACCAATTTTCACACATACGACCATTGCAGCATCCTCATGATCACATGATCAAAATTTGGGTGCTTGGCAACTGGCAGGTATTTATGACAGTTGCATATCCTGGAACCATGATCACCATTTGTAACCTTCCCAGCTGGCTTCCAATAAGCAAAGTCAATGGGAGAAGTCAGATTCATTTAATGCTGATTGATTCATTTAATAACTGCATGATTCACTTAATAACCACAGAAGTTGCTTAACTGGCAAAAGTCATAAAATGAGGCACAACTAACATAACAACTGCCTCGCTTAGCAACAGACATTCTGGGCTCAATTGTGGACATAAGTCAAGAACTACCTGTATTCTGTTTCCACTTTTCTCCTCAGTCTTATTTGACTTGTCAAGAATAAGTGAATTGTGTTTCAAATACTTGAAATTAACTGTGCATTGATAATATGTTTTTAATATATTAATATTCACACACTTTTTTCAGTATATCATTGAAAGTGCTCGGCAGCGGCCTCCAAAACGAAAGTATTTATCTAGTGGGAGGTAAGAAATATTTAGTGCATTTTTCTTACTTTAACAGATGGAAATGTTTACTCAAGAGCTTTTTTTTCTAATTCCAGAAAATCAGTATTTCAAAAGTTATATGAATTGTATCTAGAAGAATGTGACAAGGAGCCTGAAATAAAGGTAAGTGAAATCTCATTGTCAAATTTCTATTTTATGTTTTTCATAGTGGACCAGGAAAGGCCAGTTACATATAACTATTCTGTTTATAGATTGTAGTAGCATTAAAACATTCTCATGAAAAATTTAGAAGAATTTCTATCCTTGAATAAGGAATAGATATTCACTCATGTTGCCTACTGTCCATTGTGGAGGTGTCAAGAATTGGAGAAAGAGCAACCACGTTCTGAGTATAAAATATAGGAGTATTCGTATTTAAATGAGGAGGGTGTATCACACTGTTCTCAGGCTCTTACACAGGACCAGAACTTTCTATAATTCTTCAAAAGTGTCAGTAATTGGACATGATGTTGATATGTTCAGTTGATGAACACGACTCGGCGGAACATCAGGCTGCGGCCTGGGATGTGGCCGCAGCCGCAGCACTGGACCGAGTCGTGCCGCTGCGGCCTCTGACCCGGCGTAGATCTCAACTGGCCCCTTGGTTCACCGAGGGGCTGAGAGAGATGAAACGCCGGAAAAGACGCCTAGAGAGCAGTTGGAGGGTTACCCGAACCGAATCCGACCGAA